TGTTAATTTTTATCATATTTAATTTTATTTTTATTATAGATTGTCCAGAGCACGACGCTGTTCTGAAAATGCTTTTGGAATATTAGGTGCAAGATTCCAAATCTTTAGATCAGCAATGCGATATGATCCTGATGATGCGTCAAATATAATATTAGCTTGTTGTTGTATACATAATATGTTAAGAACTGAAGTAGTGGGAAGACATATGTATACTCCTCCTAAATATCTTGATAAGGAAGACGAACTCATGTATAGATTTCATCCGGGAGAGTGGCGACAAGAACCTACTTTTGGAATGATCAATTTGGGCAATCAAGGAGGTAACCGCCATGCTAATGCTGCCCTTCAACTTAGAGATGAGTAGTGTGATTATTTCAATGGAGTAGGAGCTGTTCCATGGCAAGAACGTATGGTTGATGGTTACAGATTTTGAGCTTTTTTTCAAATGTATAATTAAATACATATATATTTTTTAAAAAGTTAGAATTTTATAATGGAAATTATGTTATAAAATGTATTAATAATACAGAACATATAAAATAAAATTCTTAAAGCTTATTGCAAACATATATAACATGTAATAATGTAACATAATATATAGCTTATTGCAAATATATATAATAATGTAACTTAATATATAGTTTATTGCAACTATATGTGACATACAATAATGTAACATAACATACAATAATGTAACATAACATACATATATACGCGCGCGCGCGCGCGTGCGTGCGCGCGTGCGTGCGTGCGTGCGTGTGTGTGTGTGTAGTGGGAAGACATATGTATACTCCTCCTGAATTTCTTGATAAGGAAGACGAACTCATGTATAGATTTCATCCGGGAAAGTGGCGACAAGAACCTACTTTTGGAATGATCAATTTGGGCAATCAAGGAGGTAACCGCCATGCTAATGCTGCCCTTCAACTTAGAGATGAGTGGTGTGATTATTTCAATGGAGTAGGAGCTGTTCCATGGCAAGAACGTATGGTTGATGGTTACAGATTTTGAGCTTTTTTTCAAATGTATAATTAAATACATATATATTTTTTAAAAAGTTAGAATTTTATAATGGAAATTATGTTATAAAATGTATTAATAATACAGAACATATAAAATAAAATTCTTAAAGCTTATTGCAAACATATATAACATGTAATAATGTAACATAATATATAGCTTATTGCAAATATATATAATAATGTAACTTAATATATAATTTATTGCAACTATATGTGACATGCAATAATGTAACATAACATACATATATACGCGCGCGCGCGCGCGTGCGTGCGCGCGTGCGTGCGTGCGTGCGTGTGTGTGTGTGTGCGTGTGTGTGTGTGTGTGTGTGTGGTTTTTGGTAATTTTTGGTAATTAATAATTTGCAAGACTTTTCATAATCTCATGTTCACAGTTCTTACGACTTATAGGACTTATTTCTCGTAATCTTGCTGTCACGAAATTTCCAAAGTGCTCTACTGAATCATTGTCAGAAATAGGTAATGGTTGATTTGTCAATGTTTTAATGGCATCCATTGCCTCCTCTATTACTGACACCCGCCTTTTTTTTGCTGCTCCTCTTTTCACATACATGTCTTGTCTGTTATATGGTTTCAAGGCAGAAGGATGAGTAAGTTCTGGTAACGCTGTTGATGAATCAGATGGACTGTTTGGATTAGATTTATAACAAAGCGATGACGAACTTGCTGGACTATTTGTACTTGTGAAAGATGGGCTGTTGTCAGTTTCATTTTCTTGATTATCAATAGGCATGGCTTGCCATTGCTGAAATCAAATATTTAATAAAATAAATTAGATATATAAGCTGCTTAAAATAATATAAAATAAAAATCAATCCATTAGAAATATATTATCTACTACTCATGTTATATTTCTTGTTACAAAACTCACTTGTATATCTGTAAAATCATTTTCCAGAAACTCAATATTTTCCATTGCAATATCATTTCGTGAAGATTCGTTGCTATTAGAATTTGAAATATTTAAAGGATTTTGTAAGTTAGACAGACTATCTGCCTGAGCACATGTTTTTCTCAGAAATTTTAGCTTCTCATATAAAATCCATTTTGGTTTGTATATTTCTTCGGGACTTTTTCCACTACATCTTCCTTTAGATTTACGCTCTTTCCGATAGTTCGTCATAAAAGTTTGTTTCATGCTAGTGAAACGATGTAGTACCATATCAGCTGTAAGAATAAAAAAAATATATATTGAAATATGATTGAAATAAATACATTTCATATAAATATATTGGAATCATTGAATAGAAACTTCATAAAATCTGCAATATGTATCATCTTTTGGATAATACATATATTTCATAAACATATCAAATGATCATTAGATATGTTAGGAAACGTATGTAAACCAATATGTGCTACCTCTTTTTGTATTTTTAGTATATATATATATATAAGAAGGATATCCAAAATCATGGAAAATGCAAAAAACATTTAGCTGCATTTAAATTTTTTACAAGTAAAAAGATGACAGATTTTGTAAAGCAGACTATATCAGATAAGAGAAAAGTGGCCGAATTGAAGATTTCTGCATTCATTGCAGAGCATTGTTCTGTGTCTTCAATCGACCACCTTGGAAATTTAATAAAAACCCTTGATGAAACATCTCAACTATTAAGCGAGTTAAAATTACACAGAACCAAGTGTACGGCATTAATAAAATATGTTATTTCTCCTTGTCTTTTAGAAGATCTTGTTATTGATCTTGGTAATGGATCCTACTCATTGATTATCGATGAAAGCACAGCAGTGGTTACCACAAAAATTCTTTGCCTTATGATAAGATATTTTAGTGAAACGAAGAAAACAATCGTAACAACTTTTTATAGATTAATCGAAATTGAAAGTGGAGATGCTATTATAATACGTTGACAACAACTTTCAAAAATCAAATTTTAAAGGATGGCCTTAAAATTGAAAATCTTATTGGAATCGGAGTTGATTGAGCCAACGTTATGATTAGTATACATAATCAGTGTAGCCAGATTATCCACGCCAGCAACACGCAACCGTAGTGGAGGGGATACGCACACAAGCGAAAACCGTGTACATGTAATGCGCAGAACGCTCTGCGCTCTTACGATTTAATATGCCACAAGGTGGATGTATTAACTTCCAGCCAACAACAAATATGCTCAAAAGGTTCAACTCGGAAGATATGTACGGTAATGCAAAAATTGAGCAAGAGGAAATATTAGAAATATTATCATCTATATAAAAGATTTAATAAAATTAATATATATAATATAATTAATATACATAATATAATTAATATATATAATATAATTGGGCGTGCGGGCGTGCGGGCGTGCGGGCGTGCGGGCGTGCGGGCGTGCGGGCGTGCGGGCGTGCGGGCGTGCGTGCGTGCGTGCGTGCGGGCGTGCGTGCGTGCGTGTCCGGCTAACCAAGGCAAGACCGCTAGCGTGTCCTGCCAACTAAGGCAAGACCGGGATGGGAACACTGGTGTATATGAAGGAATAAAAATACTAATTATTTTATCAAATGTTTAAATTGATGTCCTTCGACAACTTGGCAGTGTCCTAAGCAAATGTAAAACGTATCGATAACGTTAGTTAAAAAATTGGGTGTGATTGAATTTGAAACGTTCACTATTTTTTCTTGCAGCTCTTCTAAATTTTCGGACCTAGTCTCATAGACCTTTGTGCATTTTCAAAATGCATTTTCAAAAATGTACTAAAATGAAAAATACTAAAGAAAAAAAGATATTAAACAAGCGCTCTTCAAAATTCACAAGTAACCGCGTGAAATAATGAGTTTACAAGTGAAAACTCTCTAAGGAAACATCAACTACTGCATAACATAGGTCGCCGGTATATGGGCATTGACATTTGAGTTCGAACCAAACAACTTTTAGTACATTTTTATTGTCAGAAAATGCATTTAACTGATACGGAAAAGATCACTGTATTGATGATGAGAGGGTATGGCGACAGAATAAGGTCCTATCGAGAAGTAGCGGATTTATTCAATGCCACATATCCTGACCGTGAACCAATTTCAAAGTCAACTGTTGAAAGAACTGTTGGTCGTTTCCAAAGAACCGGTGTAATTAAAGATGCGCCTAGATCTGGAAGACCCAAAAATGCTAGTAATGACGAAAAAGCTTTAGATGTTCTGCTAACTGTATACGATAATCCCCATACATCGGTCTCGAGAGTAGCTAAAAAAAATGATATTAGCACAACATCAGTCCATCGAATTTTGAAAAAGCATCACTATCATCCTTATAAAATACATCTAGTCCAGGAGCTATCCAAAGACGATTATGACAGAAGAGTAGAATTTTGCGACACAATGATGACACGACTTGCTGATAATTGTCAGCTTTTCAACTGGATCTGTTTTTCTGACGAAACAACATTTGAATTAAACGGTTCTGTAAATCGACAGAATATGAGGTATTGGGCAGATGAAAATCCGCATTGGATGAGGGACAGTCACACGCAGTATCCTCAGAAGGTTAACGTTTGGGCCGGAATAATGTTTAATCGTATTATAGGACCGTTTTTTATTGAAGGAAACTTAAATTCTCAAAATTATTGCAATTTGCTAAGAAACCAAGTGATACCGGCTATTCAGGATATTGCTGGAGAAGCTTTCCACAATGTTTGGTTTTAGCAGGATGGGGTTCCGGCTCATTTTTCTCTGAAAGCTCGAAATATTCTCAACGATGTTTTTACTGATCGATGGATTGGTAGAAGACGCACAATAGAATGGCCACCAAGATCACCAGATCTGACCCCATTAGACTTCTTTTACTGGGGGTATTTGAAAACAAAGCTGCGTAAAAAAATAGTGAACGTTTCGTTTCAAATCACACCCAGTTTTTTAACTAACGTTATCGATACGTTTTACATTCGCTTAGGACACTGCCAAGTTGTCGAAAGACATCAATTCAATCACGTTTTTTAACTAACGTTATCGATACGTTTTACATTCGCTTAGGACACTGCCAAGTTGTCGAAAGACATCAATTTGAACATAACATAAAATAATTAGTGTTTTTATTCCTTCACATACACCAGTGTTCTCATCCCGGTCTTGCCTTAGTTGGCAGGACACGCTAGTGGTCTTGTCTTGGTTCGCCGGACACGCACGCACGCACGCG